GATGGTGACTCCACCACCTCCCTGGGCAATCTATTTTGGTGCCTGAACACCCTAACAGGGAAAACATTTCTCCTAACATCTAATCTGACTCTCAAAAGATCTCATTCATAACCCCACTGAGGTGCCTGACCACCCTTCTGTGAAGAAATTGTTCCTAATACCCAAACTAAACCTCCCTGGGTGGAACTTCAGGCTGTTTCTTTTTGTCCTACTACTTGTTACTTGGGAGAAAAGATCAATCCCCACCTGACTACATCTTCCTCTCAGGTAGTTGTAGAGAGTGATAATGTCTCTCCTGAGCCTCCTTTTCTCCATACTAAACAACCTCAGTCTTCTGAACCACTCCTTCTAAGTCTTGTGAGGAACAGCTTTCTCCTGGTGATGCAATGACTGTCATCTGCTTCTCCTTCATGTGCCCAGAGATGTGCTCCAAGACTTGCTCCCAGGGAATTGAGTTTATGCCTATGCTTAAGGATTTTTTAACTGATCTTCAATTTAATGTACTTTGTAGAATTCATAAGGATTCATGTGTTGCCTCAGCAACACAATCCTTGATACGTATGATGCTAGATTCAAAAGGTTTAAAAATAGCACTCCAGGAGAAAGATGTGCCTTATTTCCTTCTGACAGCAGCTGCATGGTGCCATTACTAGAACCTTACATTGCCTGACATCTGTATTTGACTCCACTGCAACAATTTCTTTTGCCAAACATCGCCGTGCAAATGAATAGCAATGTGCATCCATGCTGGGCTTCACATCCAAAGTATTTCCTGGCAGTTAGAAGCCTTTTTTAAATGCAGTACTGTTCTTACCTTATAGCTTTCAGCTCCTTGAATGACATCTTTCATTGAAGCAGACAACTGATCCTTTTCTGATCGAACCGACTCCAATTCTTCCTTCAGGGCCTGGGTCTGATTAAAAAGAAGTGTGTGTCATTAAAACAGAACCTCCCATGCAGCTTGTTCTTCAGATCAGGAAGCAGTCAGGGTACCTCTTTTCTGCTCGCATCCAATTCTTTCTTTGCTTTCACAGCAACCACCTTGATCTTATTTAGCTTCTCTCCTTTTTCTGCAGATTCTTTTTCCAGCCTCTCTAAAATAGACAAGAACAGGAAAAAAATGCACCTTTCCATTTCTTCCCAGGAAATGAAATGAAATTCAATTAGACCACAAATATCAGAGTGACTTTAAAACCAAACAATATCAAATGGGGGGAGATGTTCAAACGTTTCATTGAGTTAACCATTTAAGTTCAATTTGAAGCTAAAACATCCAATTCTTTTTCCAGCCTCTCTAAAATAGACAAGAACAGGAAAAAAATGCACCTTTCCATTTCTTCCCAGGAAATGAAATGAAATTCAATTAGACCACAAATATCAGAGTGACTTTAAAACCAAACAATATCAAATGGGGGGAGATGTTCAAACGTTTCATTGAGTTAACCATTTAAGTTCAATTTGAAGCTAAAACATCCAGACACAGCTCCAATCTTTCTAAGCAATCTTTCCCTGTTTCAGAGGCTTCCATCCCAGTCTAATGTTAAGAACCATTCTTCTATCTACTTCTACATAAACTGTAACCACTCTGAACCATTTTCTTGCTGTTGAGTTGGGATAACTGCAATGAGGGGGCAGAAGTTTTGGCAAAGTGTTGCTTCCCTCTCCTCTTGGCAGCCTGAGGAACCCTTATCGACGCTTTTATTTCCCATATTTATAAAAATCAAGATTAAATCCACTACACTGTTGATAGCCAGATGTACATGGGAAGAAAAAGCCTAAAGAAACAGCCAATCATACCCAACTTAAAATTGCTAACGATGTTTTAAATCCCTAATGGAAGGAATATTGTAGAAAGTTGCATTGATATCTACTTTCCCATCCTCCCTGGCTTGTAGGAAACACAGGACAATTATGCAGAGGAAGAAAAACTAACAATCCAATGAACCCAAAGAGTTTACATAAAAGAACAGAGAAAGATACCAATTTTTTCTTGAAGCTCTGCCACTGAAGACTGTTGATCAGTTTTCTCAGTCACTGTCTCCATTAAATTCTGTATAAACAAAGATAGAAGAGGTATTACAAAAATGTCCTTGTGATATCCCTTTTTCTCCCCTAACAAGCCACCAGAAGTTTCAGCTGCAGCTAAAACTGTCTACATTTTTACTACCAAAAAAAAAGCTTTTACGTACAATTTCTTATCAGCTTGCTGAAAGCACAGTTTTGCTGAAAGCAAAACATTCCAACCTTTTACTAGCTGCTTTCCATCCTGTCCAAGGACAAAAAAATGGGAGACCATGAATTCTGCAGCTGTCAGTTTTACATAACCAGCACTTCCCAGGACCTGAAGTTAGGAGTAGCTAATGCAGGTCAAGTAGTTTTGTTTGAGATGGAGCCAGAGAAAGTTAGAGGTGAAAGATGACAAGGTCAGTTAGTCCATCTAGTCAAATGATCTCTTTGAGGGGTATCGACAGGAAGAAAGGTTCAAGTACAAGCAACCTTTGACAAAAAAAAAGCATTAGGATTGCTTTAGTTTCTGTATTTTTTTGTCCTGGTGGGAGGGAAGGGACTTTGAGGTGCTAGAAAACTCAGAAACATGAGCTTTCTAGAAGGGAAACTCACTTTCAGGCCAAGGGAAAAAAAATAACAAAAGAAAAGAGAGAATTGAAAGTATTTTTTGAACCTTAATTCTGAAGACTTTAGAGGTTTAGTCTGTATACTTCAATAACAAAATATAACCTTTAGAGAACTCAGTTCGTCTTTCATATTTCTAAGTTCAGTTTCCTTTTGTTCCAGAATGAAATTTAAGTCGTCTTGTTTCTCTGATCCTTTTTGCTGCTCTTGGATTTGACTTTCATAGAAAGCAAGTTTTTGAGTGATCTCTCCAATATTAGGTAAAAGATCTTGGGTTTCCATCCTCATTTTTTCACTGGCATTCTTCAGCTCCTGGATATCCTGTTGAAGTGCTTCTTTTTCAGACAACACTCCCTCCAGCTCTTCCCTCAAGAGATCCTTTTCCCGTTCAAAATCCTGAACCAGGGATCTATGTTCTCTATATTGAGCTTCGTTTTCTTGCTCTAGTCTCTCAACCTCCTGCTGCAAACGAATTACTTCCTCCTGACTTTGCAGAGCAAGGCACTGCTCTTCTTTCATTTTTGACCAGCAGTCACTTGCAACTTTTAACAAGTCAAGAGAGTCACATTCTTCATTAGAATCTGAAATGCTGGACCCTGCTTGCTCCAGGAAATGGCACAGCTGAGCTCTTACAAGGGACGTGTGAGCTTGTTCCTTTTCAAGAGATGTTGACAGATGCTCTTTTTCTGCAGTCACCATTTGTAACTTCTTTTCTAAGTTCTCAGACTGCTCTTTCAACACTAGCCAACCATCTTTTTCAGATGTGATCTTTTTCAGATCTTCACTTAATTCACTTTTTTCCTGGATGACTTTCTTGTTTTCCTCACGAAGAGCACATGCTTCAGCTGAAAGCTTCTCTCTGTCACGCACCAGAGATTCAATCTGCTTTTCCAGCTCTTCCAGCATTTGAGCATTTTCACTCTTTGCAGTTAAAGCTTCGTTCAGCCTCTCTGTTAATTCCTCCACCTTTTCCTTCAGATCATTATTGGACTGGTTAGCAACATCTACTTCTTGCTGAAGTTCCTGAGTTTTAACTTGTTCTTGCTTGCACCTTTCCTGAAGGGTTTCTCTCTCTTCACCCAAGCATTTTATATCATTTAAAATATCCTTGTTTTGATCAGTAAGAGCAGTGACCTTCTCTTCCAGCTCTTTTACAATGATGTCTTTTTGGTCGATGGAGCTTGTCATTGCATTATTCTCCTCCTGAAGACTAACAATTTTACATTTAAGTTGTTCTACCTCTAGCTGATCAGCTGACAATTTATCTCGCTCCTCCTGGAGGCGGTTTACAGTTTCCAGCAGCACATCCCTCTCATTGAAAGCAGCCCTGAGTTTCTGCTGCAGCTGACTGACATCAGAAGCTTGCTGTTGTTTCATGGATTCAAGCTCCTGGCTGATCTTTCCAGCGGATTCCCCTAGCTCAGCCTGGAGAGTTTCCATTGTTTCTCTCAGGCTGTCGTAATTACACACTGCTTCTTCTTTCTCCTGAGTTACCTTTTCAAGCTGTTCCCTAAGTTCCTGCATTTCAAAAGCTAATGCCACATTTTCCTTTTCAGAGCTAGATAAGAAAGTTTCATTCAGTTCAGAAATCTCTCTCTTGTGTTGCTCTTTCAGAGTCTGAATCTCTAACTGATGCTCTTCCACAGCAGTTTCATAGTGTTGCCTTGCTGCCTGAAGCTCCAGTTTTAGCTTTTCAATGACACAACAGTAATCTTCTTTAGTAAGCTGCAATTCATTTATCTTAAAGTCCAAGTCTTCCCTTTCATGGAAGTATTCCTCCTTTACACAATGGATTTCCTCTTCCAGTTTTAGCTTGACATTGTTCATGTAAGTTAACTCATCCTTTAATATACTATGTTGGGACTGGAGTTCTTCTAAACTCTGCTCCAGGTGCCTAACTTTTTCTTCCATCTTGACTTCTAGCCAAGGTTCCTGTTGTGTATCTGCAACATCTACCTTGTTTTCTACAGTTTTATTTAAGGCTTCTCTCAGCTGCTCCAAGTCATGTTCACACTGGTTGGTATGAGCACACACTTCATCCCTTGCATTTTTCTCTGCCAAACTGTGCTGCAACTGAGCAATTTGGTTTTGCTTTTCTTCATTTTCTTTCGATGATATTTCAAGCTGATGCATCAATTCTGACACCTCTTCCTGATGTGCAAACTTTAGTTTTTTAAGCTCTTCATTCAGATTTTGAATTTCATTATGGTAACACTGAGAGTTGCTTTTAATAGTTTCCTGCAGATTTGTCACTTCTTTGTTTTTGTCTTCACTCACAGTTTCTAATTGCTTGCTCAGACACATAATTTGCTCCTCATAAGTAGATTTAATTCCTTGGATATCATCTTGTAATCTTTTAACTTCTTTTTGACTGTGGCTGTGACATTCAACCTGTTCCATCAGCTCCATTTGTTTCTTCACTTGTTCATCTAATTCCATTTTCAGCTTTTTAAAATCCTCATTGTGCTTGCATTGTGCATTTGCTAATTCACTCTTCAGAGCATTTATTTCTTTCAGAGAGTCAATATTTGATTGTTCCAGTTGCTTCTGCAATTCTTCTGTCTTAGCTGCTGCAGCCTAAAAAAACCCAAGCAAATTATTAAATACCGGTCATGTAGCACACAGAATTTCCAAATGAACTGTTTACAATCATAGAATTATAGAATTTTAGGGATTGGAATGGACCTTAGGGATCATCCAGCCCCAACCCCCTGCCCTGGGCAGGGACACCTCTCACCAGAGCAGGTTGCTCAAGGTTTCATCCAGCCTGGCTGTGAACACTGCCAGGGTTGGGGCAGCCACAGCCTCCCTGGGCAACCTGGGCCAGTGGATCACCACCCTCATGGGAAAAAACTTTTCCCTAATTTCTAACCTAAATTTCCCTCTTTCAATTTGTGCCCATTGCCCCTTGTCTTGTCCCTGCAGCTCCTAACACAGAGTCCCTCTGCAGCTTCTCTGGAGCCCCTTCAGCTCCTGGAAGGTGCTCTGAGGTCTCTAACTGTATTAGAACAACTCAATTCAAACACTGCAGAGAGCACAAGAACATTTGCAGAAATAGAAAGGGAAACTAACTCTTATATCATGATTACCAGCATAATTTCACAAAATGATCATGACAAACTTCAGCTTTACCAAATCTTCTCATAATGTATTAAAAACTGAACTAGTTTTAGCACATTAAATTCAAGTATGTGGAACATAAGAATGTTCATCAATTGGAAGCAATTCATTTTTCACTTTATTATTAATTGAGATTATTGATATCATTGGTGCCTTGGCTGACAAGCTACCTCTCAACAATATCTAAATGTAAGCCTCATATAGAATCATAAAACCATCAAGGTTGGAGGAGACTTCTAAGATCATCCAGTCCAACCATTAACTTGTCACTGCTGGAACCCCTAAACCCTAAACCAGATCCTCCAGTGCCAGATCCAGACACCTCTTCAACACTTCCAGGGATGGTGACTCTAAAAATCTATTCCAGGGCCTGAACACTCTAACAGGGACAACATTTCTCCTAACACCCAATCTGACTCTGCCCTGGCTCAGCTTATCACCATGATCTCCCACAAAAAGACAGAGCTGACTGACTGAAGCCATCACATATACAGGCTCTTAATGCACAGACTGAATTCATTTTGCAGCTGTAGATCTAGATGATGTATAGAAGAATTTGATATTAATTACTATGAACTTAGGGGTACAGAGAAAATACACTTTCATATATGAAGCCTTGAAGGTTTTTTTTTAGTTTTTTTTTAAAAGATACAACACAGGTAAGTGAATAAAAACATTAGAATTAAAAACACAACGAGCAAACCTAGAAAATAAACTTAATTCTGAAATATTTTAGTCACGTTCTGTGGCTCATTTCAGTACCTCTCCTTCTTGCTTTAGCTGAGTATTTTCTTTTTTCAGAGCTATGCACTGCTGCTGAGTTTCAGCTTTTTCCAGAAGTACAACATCCAGTCGTTCTGTGAGAGCCTAATATGAAACAAGAAAGGGTTTCTTAACAATGCAAACAATGATTTTTGCCACATGTAGGAACTCACATATTGATTAGTACCATTTTTTGCCACATCAGTCTGATTTTAAAAATTACTTTCAGCCCAAATATGGCTAATATGAAACAGAGACTAAAACAATGGTGTTAGTTGTGTTAAAAATGGTACTTTGGATCACCAGGTGGTGATGGGGAAAGTTCTCCTTCTGCAGCAAAGAAATCTCCATCCAAATTATTCAAAACAATTCTCCAGCTGATAAATTCCTCCTCACTGCTAATTTTCACTTTCATACACTATGACCTTTGCTTTGAAAAAGACAGATGTTCTTACCACATAAAAACAATTCCAGCAACTTCAACTATGTGTTTTTGATCTCATCAACTGACTGTCTCAGCTCTCTAAATGGCTGAAGTCTTTCTGCAATGGTTATTCCAAAATAAACAACAGCTTGTCTAACTAGCTACACAAGGAAAATGTCTTGCTGGGGACACTGACAGAAGCAGAGAACAGTTTCGGTGGGAAATGATGATCTTTAAAGGTCTCCTATTCAATGCCCCTGCAATGAGCAGGGACATCTTCACCCCCATCAGGTGGCTAGAACCCTGTCTAGTCTGACCTTGAATGTTTCCAGGGATGGAGCATCTACCACCTCTCATTGTAAAAGAACTTCTTCCTTATATCTCATCTAGATTAACCCTCTTTCAGTTTAAAACCATTACCCCTTGTCCTATCACAGCAGGCCCTGCTGAAGTTTGTCCTCCCCCACTAAAGAACTGAAGGGCTGTGATGATTTCTCCCTGGAAACTGAACTATTCTGTACTAATCTTCACAGAACAGATACTGTTTTCTGACAAGTGGAGTGATGTGAAGGGAGGAAGAAAAAGAAGTTTTTTAGCAAGTGTCTTATATTTTTGAAAATTGATTCCATTCAATTTGAATAACAGTTTTAAAGCTATTTACTATTTACCTAATTATTTCTGTAGATTTATTTCAGCCAACTTAATGCAATACAGTAGAAACTCATTACATATTCTTACCTGAATAATATCATCGTTTCCTTCAGCAGCTGCTTTAGATCTGAGTTCTTCAATCTCTTTCTCCAGTTCTTAAAAAATTACAGACATTTCACAGCATGAATTGATGCAGTAGCAAATTTCTAGTAAATACAGTGCCTGACAACACTTCTATTCAAATCAGAGATGTCTTCTACTTCATCAGTATTTATTTCTTAATGAGTGATAGAAAGGACTAGTAGAAAAAGAACAAATATTCAGTACTACTTCTCCAGTCCTGACACAGAGTATGGTTTACTCAGGAAGAGAAACTTCCTGGTTTGGGTAGAGGGACAGCAGATATTAATTCTTTTGATGATTGTCTTACCTACTATTTCATGCTCAATTTAAGTCAGACACTCAGTTCCTACTGGTTCTCTAAAAATAGGCAGCAGGCAGAATAAGACTGTAGAATCATCAAGGTTGGAGGAGACTTCTAAGATTATCAAGTCCAACCATTAACCTGTCACTGCTGGAACCCCTAAACCCTAAACCAGATCCTCCAGTGCCAGATCCAGACACCTCTTCAACACCTCCAGGGATGGTGACTCCATCCCCTCCCTGGGCAACATCCCAGTGCCTCAACACCCTCACAGGGAAAACATTTCTCCTAACATCTAATCTGACTCTCAAAAGATCTCATTCATAACCTCACTGAGGAAAAGCCTGGTCTAGCCCATCCCTAAATCCCTACTGTTTCACTGCTACCAGCAGCCAGCATAATTCTAACTCCAAACCAGGGGAAGTGACAGCAGCCCAAGCAGTGAGCCACTGGAGGAAAAGGGACAACAGAGCAGAGAAGGACAACACATGAGAGCACAGATTGACAGATGATATTTTTAGGTCGTTACCATAAAACTTTGGTTGGTATATTTTAGTTTCTTTTTAAAGAAGCAAATGATCATGCATAAAGCAGCTAACTATCTTAAAGAAGCCATTGTACTCCACAACAGTACTAATTATGCAACAAACTATCAGAGACATTCCCCTTCCCATCTGCTTCCTGAAAACCAACCAGTATGTATCCCTGCACCAATATGACAAGTCCAACTTCTACTTTTACACAACCTACACTGTTCCATCACGTGATACTGCCAGATCAAAATTCAATGCCTGGCAAAAGCAATGCTTCCTTTTCTTCCCTTTCTTACTCAGAGGACTTCAGTCCTTACCATCCCACCATAAAGAATGAAATTTCAGAAAAAAATTATCTCGGATATTTGCCTAAAACTTAAATCTACCGAGAAAAAACATGCAGTGATATCAGAAAAGGTCAGATAGCACCAAACATGAAGGCAGAAATTGTTTTCTTTCCAGTAAGGTACCTGAACATCTTGACTTTACTTTCTGTATAAGCATCACTTGTTTTTTTGCAAATTTGATGAGATCTTCTTTGGGCAATGTGTCCAGCTGTAAAAAAAAGCAGGTATTAGAAAAAAAAAAGCAGATATTAGAAAAAGCAGTTTCCTCTAACCCAGAGGTAAACAGACAGGGTTATTTGTAGCCAACAAAGAAGTTCAATTTTAGGCCACAAAATTCTTACCATACATTTGCAAGAAGAGGAACAGTTCAAGTTACTGCTGTTCTGTTATCCAATTCTGTTACTTCAAATGCAGTAAGAGAAACTACTCCTAATTCTGTATGTTCCTGAGATCATTATGAAGCACAGCACTGAGCAGCATCAATTAACAGGAAAACTCAGCTAGGAAGGATGAGAATTCAGTAATATAATTTGAAAAGAGGATGCTGACCTAACATTGACAGTGTTTAAATTTACTTCCAACATATGCAAAGACATCTGCATCCATTCTAAAACTGACTCCTGCCAAAACTGGATGCTGTTAATCATTTATCAAATGTAACAGGAAGTGAACAAACCAAGAAGATATTTTTTTCCTCATGTTTTTCCAAAACACCTTATCCATGTGTTTATAAATAATTTTTTTTCTGCCTAGAAAACAGGAAACTCTAAACATACCGTTATTGGTCACAGCTTGCAGACTAAGCTGTAACCCTTTCAACTACTGCTGTCCAAAGAAATTGGATTTGGGAGGATTGGTTACCTTTGATTTGCCTGATCCTGGTGTGCCAGAAGATGCCACCATCTCCTGCCCAGCATCTTGAACCTACAGCAAAATGAAGTACAAGCTGCAGTAACTAAGTTGTCAATGTAAGACTACCAAAGGAACTAATGGAATGTCTTCAAGTGCTAAGAATAACCGCAGGTAGTGAGAGCTCAAAAAAAAAAAAAAAAGTATTTGTAGGACTGGTCAGTAGCATAACAGAAAAAGATCATAGAATCATCAGGGTTGGA